TTAGCTGTTAGCTGTTGCAAGTGCAAGGAAATTGCACTAAAGTCCAAGAAAAGAAGGCAGAAATCCCTTGAAATCCTCGCCCCGGGCTTCTTTTACTCCTTCAACCGAGTGGAGTGGAGGATATTTTCCGCCCGTTTGGATCATTTCCATGATGGAAACGAAAGTGAAAACAAATGAAAGTCGTGCGAGGGAATACATTAAAAATGAGAGTTCCTTTGACCGGGTCTGAAGTGAAAGCCCTCCCGCTGCCTTACATTAATATTCATGCATCGAACATATATATCTGGATCCACACCTTCCGTTCCTATAACAGATTCTCTCTGGAGTGTGTTTATGAAAAGTAGGTGAAGATATTAGAATGCTGAAATACGGGGGAAAAAGGAGTTTCAGGTGAATCTTATTTCCCATATTTAATCACTTTCACTTTTTTTAATTTTAAAGAATATCCCTACTAGGTATATACTTCTGGTTAATCTATTATTTCATCACTTTGATTTCCATTAAATAAATTTAAATTATGTAACAGAATCCTTAATGTGACTTTCCTACATTTCCTCTTTCCGAATCCATTTGCACCTGGCTGACTTTTGACTTTTGGCCAATTTATCGACCCACACGATTCGAGCCGCGGATTGGCCAAATATTTGCATCTGTCATTACGCCGGCTGGGCCAAGTGGGCTGTCCCGGGAGTCCCGGGTGCCGGTCCGATTCGGTTTTATGGAATCATAAAAGTAATTAATTGATATATGCGTGCTGGCTGGCGTAATTGCCCGTCGAGTGGGAGGGTAAAGTGCGGAGATAAAGAGAGCAGCGGGACGTCCAGCGAAAATGCATGCAACGGGATGCGTAATGAAAGCATTGCAATTTTTCAGCTTTTTGCCGCCACTTTTCCCGCCCTTATAATCCCCCAAGAGGCCAAGGCTGCTGTACGGGTCCGAGTTTCAGTATGGATCCGGCGGAGTCGGATTCGGATCTGGGGCCCGTTACGGATATTACGTAATGAAAGTTAACAATTACGCCCCCGTGCGTGGGCTTCAATTAAATTTTTGAGTTGTGGCCGTTTTTATTGTAACTGATAATTGCATTGTAATGACACTGGGACACCAAACCCTGACCGCTCCTCCGTCTCTGTCTCTGTCCCTGTCCCTGTCTCCAGGTCGTCACATGGGGTTAAGCATGCATCTCTGCCCCGGCCGCTGCCACTGCCACAGCCCAGCATTTTAATTATCCCATTGTGTGGCATGTGAATGTCGATGGTTTCCAGGCTCGGTCTGGCCATATTGAATCGCATGTGGCGTGAAATTGCCGAGAAATCGGCCAAACAAAAATCTCAGAATTTTCCAGCGTTAATGGCTGAGAGATCGATTTGGAGCTTCGATTCACACCCAGCCATCAATGGTTGGGTTTTAAATTAGCGTTGGTGAGAAGTGAACCACCGATGGAGCCACCGTGACCACCAGTTGAGGATTGGCTGGTGAAGGGTTAACGAATGTAAGCTGAGGCCTGAGGCGAACCATTCGTGACGCATTTCCGCTGGGCACCTGTTATCAACAATTAATTTAATAAAAGCCCAATCATTAGGCCACGATTTGTGGGGCGTTTCCGGTTCGGCATAGGCCTGACCCCCAACACATACACACTCCACCCACTGCGACACACATTTAGCGACGTGTTCCAAAGAGCACTCCGGCCAGGAGTCAGGATTTCGCCAGAGCTCCCAGTAGATAGCTTCAAATCGTCGCGTAAAATACACACAGAAAAAGTTTAGGTTCCATTTACTTGTAACTTAAAGGTGTGATTTACCTTTCTAGTACAGTGCAAGTATACAGTTTTTTCCTGAGTGTACCCATATAGGTGGCAATCAGCAGCCTCACATGCACAGGACCTCCGGTCTGACGTTGTTGCCTCCTGATGGCTGGGGGCATTTTGCTGGGTTGTGGGCTGCCACTGCGGCTTGAACTGCGCTTCTTGATGCCCGTGCCATATCATCGTTATTGTTGTTACTGCCGACTGTGATTTGTTGGCATCGTTACTGTTGTCGCTCTCAGCAAACTGTGCATAAATCGTGCACACCTACATTATGTTGCGATAAATCTGTAATGACCAGAACAGACCAACAACCGTCTGACTGGGCAACCGACCATCCTGCTAGCCACCCATCCTGCCATCCTGCCATCCTGCCATCCAGCATCCAAACATCCAGCCAACTGAACACACAGTTGGTCATACACAAGTATGCGTTCAAGTTAATTTGCGTGTGTTTAAATGTGCGTAATTATTGTTTATCTACCATGCCGTACAATTTAACCGCAGACGGGGTTTTTATATCAATTGCAATCTATTGAAATATTTCAAATGAACATGAGTACAAGCAAATTAAGAGGCGAATATCAATGTGTTTGTTTTTGTGTGGGCGGAAAAGTGGAATAATGATATTTTATCTCGAATTGTGTTAAACATACGCAGGACTTGAACTTAGTACAGAGTTCAACCAATTTATTCGTAAAATGAACGATATTTTGCATTATTACAGTACTTATTTGGGATTAAATCATCTTTTTATGGTGAAAGCATTATTAACAAAATAAATTCAGTATTTAATAATATTGAAAATGGCCTCCTAGTGAAATGTGCTAAGTAAATGCTGAATCAACCTGAATCAGTTTACTTAACCTACGCTCTTTCAAAGGCAAAACTTTCACTTTTCAGTTCTACTAACTAGAAACTTGAGTGCAAAATACTCTTGCAATAAAATTAGTAGGAACATCCAACAAATTTACAGAAATATTCTGCTTAAATCATTTGTATAATTTCATTCCCATTTCCCCGATGGCAACCTACCATTCCTTGAGTGCCATATGAAACTTTCACCTTTGCGTGGGTGACTGTGTGCTGGGCTCTGAGTTCGGAGATATCCAGAAGGGGAGAGAGGAACATTTGCCAGCCTCCCAGTCAGTTTGGAGTAATTAAGTTAATTTGTCTTGACTGTCGGGCCAGAGATTTCAACTTTTTCCTCATGTTCTCGTTAGCAGGCGAACGTTGATTACGCTGCACATTAATTTAACCATTTCATTTTGTCATTTTATTACGCGAGTGGCTGGCTCCCCCTTCCGGCTTCCAAGTACCACTTCTCCCCCTATCAATTGCAACTTTAATAAACTCTTTTGCTCAAATTATATTTACGAGGGTCACAAAGTGCGGAAAAATTGACGATGAGTACGCTGGCTTGGGACAACGGGGTAGGCAGCATATTTTGCCAATGTGCCAAAGTAGATACGCGGTCTGTCACTGCTGAAGTGCACGGAAAACTATTTTGTGCATAATTTTTGAGATGAATAATAATAATAAATATTTGTTATCATTATTTAATGATATTCGTTTAACTTTTCTGTGACTTTCGATAAATAATAGTTTCTGATATAGGTTTTCTTTATGTTAAAGTGAGAGTGGTTTATGGAAGTGTTAAGCTGATTTCATTCTAGGGCCTACTACCAAACAGCTATTCATTTTTATTCTTAATCCCATTGAGGAACTAACTTAATTGCAATTAATTTATTATGATTCAAGAATCAATGAAATACAATTTATTCAGATCTCAAAAGATATCAAATTTGTTGACATTTAATTTATAAATATGAATATTATTTCGTTTTTTTCCCTGTGTCAGTATGGGGACACCATTAAGCCCTCCATTTCGATACTTAAAACTTTGCGGCAATGCTGCTTGTGGCAGCCGCAGCAGCAACATCAACACCACCAGCGGCAGCAGGAGCAACATCCGCAACTGCAGCAGCAACTCCAACAACGACAGCAACTGCAACTCGCGCCCAACGAAAGGCGACGTAATTTTTAATAGTTTCGCAATTATATCGTAAAATTTAACAACTTTGCGCACTTCTTAACGAAATTGCGCAGCCAGCGAAACTGACACTGATGCATTTCCGGTTAGCCAGTAGGGCGAAAGGGGTACATGGGCGGAGGGAGTGGCAAACTGCATTGCGCTTAATGAGAAAATTTCCACCGAAAAAGTTTTTCACCCCACGCGCTTTTCATGCTGTTTGCGCTGATGCGTTGTTTGCTTGTTTGTTTGTTGCTGCCGCTGCTCAACTTCCAACTTCCAACTTTCGCTTTCATATCTTTATTTTTGGATTACTTTCCAGCTACGCTTACGTATTTTTAAACAAGCTCCACATTAATTATTGCACCCAAAAAGGGAGTGAAAAGCAGGGGAAAGTTGGGGTGAAAGTTGTTAATGAATCGAAAAATAGGATCTTGGTTCTGAAACGCGCTTAGCGTTCAGTTGCGTAATGTACTCTAAATTTAATATTATTACTTTATAATAAAGGAAAATATATTTAATGATCAAGATTTTGTCCTAAAATGTTTATTAGGATTTGAATTTTATTACAATTGTCTTATAAGAACTTTTAATCATTGGCAATTATAAGAAAGCCTTACCTTAAGTAGATTTTGTTCATAATAAAATAAAAGGCAAGACAGCAAAGCATTCTTCATTTAACAAAATATGTAACTACTAAGCTTAGTGTTGGGCCAAGCACTGCGGCAAGCAGCCAAAGACAAAGAAGGATGAGCATCGGCGGGTTTATCAGCAGTTTCTATTTTGTTTTGGTTCCCCCAGTTTCGCATGCGCTTTACTGTTATTTTGTAGCGCATGCGCCTTTGGGAGCTTTTGTAGAAGTGCTGTAGCTCGAAGCTTTTGTTGTTAAGCTGTACTTCTTGCATTCGGCATTGCTTTGGTTGCTGAGTTGATTTGGTTTGATTTAAAATTAAAAACTCTTAGTTGATTAACACTTAGAAATAAATCTAAGAAGATAGTTTAATGATTGCTATTTTTATTCTTCGAATTCTAAAATATTAAATACTTTCGTGTAAGAAAATATGTACATATGTCTCTAGAACACCATTATGTTTTACAGTTACATAGTTACACTTATTATGCTTTCTTTTCCTGTTAACCTAGCAATCTTTCTAATGCTTTTTAAATTCTGTCTGAGTTGATTTAAGTTCGTAGATACACAACAAACATTTCAGAGGTGCTCTTAGAAAAATGGATTCAAAAATGAGCCAAATTAGCCAAGCCAAACAGTCGGTCGTGAGTGGCGAAGAGCACCTCCGTTATGTGGACCTGCCAGTTTATCCGAAGCCCCTTCCTGAACAAGATCTTAGCTACAAGCGGGATGAAAACAAGTTCACAATGGTGGAAAAGGCAGCTCTGCGCAATGCCTGGCGTCTGGTTGAGCCCTTTCAGCGACGGATTGGCAAGGAGAACTTCTACAAGTAGCTATTTCTGATATACAGTAATATCCTTATAGGCCTGATTTGTGCGACTTAGCTTCCTTACTATGCACGAGGACCTCATCAACTTCTTTAGGCGAGATGGAAAAATTAATTTGAGTAAGTTGCATGGACATGCCATGGCTATGATGAAGCTCATGCTAAAGCTGGTCCAAACTTTGGATGACAATTTAGCCTTTCGCCTGGCTTTGGATGAAAATCTGCCTTCTCATCTGAAGAATGGCATTGATGCAAAGTACATGAAGGTTAGTTTTCGTAATAATTAATAGGCTTGAATAAAATAAAACTATTTCCATTTTAGCTGCTGGCCAATTCCCTCAAGAGATACATCCTAGAGTCTGATGTCATCGAAAACAAAACTCGTGCTCACTAACAAACGGCCTCACCCGCTTGGTGTACATCGTCGGGACCTACGCCCAAGCGGATGTGGCCAGGAAACGAGCCATGTCGGTTGCCCTCAGGACCACTCTTCTTAATACCTAAGTGAACTTTCCAGCGAAAGTATAGGTCAATTATCTAAATATGAAATACGAATTTATGAAGAAGCATGCTAATAGCAAACAGAAAACTAAATTGTGAATTTTTGAGTCTACTAACGTTTCTTAGTTAGTAAGAAATAAATGAGAAGATTAAATCAGAATAGAAGAGCGAAAACTTATTTTGGTATCGGTAATATTTGAAACTGGAAAATATTGATCTTTCACGAAGATATAGGTTTTAACTTACCCTTGTTTTTCACCATTTTGTTAACCAACCACTGCAATCATGCATCCCTGGACAAAAGGATGCCGATTTTTTTCCGGAAATCTGCTTTTGCCATGCATCACCAAAGGACCGAAGCGAATTGGCAACTAATCTAAGGCCTCCGCACTCGCATGCATATAAATCCAGCAACCACAGACAGATTTCGCCACAGTTGCAGGCGGTGACCGAGCAGGCACCTCAAATTAAATTAAGCCATAATTTATTTCCCATGGAGACGGGCAAGAAGACACCAGCCCACAAAAGCTCAAAATTCAAATGCCCAACAAAAATATGGCACTAAGAGCTGCTGCTACTGCAGCGGTTAAAACACACACACACACACTTACACACACTAGAGAAAAGAGGAGCCAGCTGAGAGGAGGATTTATTGGAATTCCATCAATGGCGAGGCAGGAGCTCCTCTGCTTCCAATTCCCATGGCAGGCATCCCACTGTGACCCGCACGAACTCTAACTGCAGGACATGCTCTGGGCATCAGTGATGACAGCTGGCGATTAGAAAAGGATGCCAACAGGAAATAGCTAAGAAGTAGCTGGAACCTACAGTCAAAAATAGCTTATAAAAATTTTAAATATTTTCTTTATTATCATTAAACTAGAGCTAGATAGCTAGATTTCAGATATGTCATCACCTATAAGCAGTGCAATCCTGTTTCCCTCTGGAGGAAGGGAGCTCGGACAGCAGAGGACTGTGTGACCCGCAGGAGGCACGGGATTGGCACGACGAGGGACTTTGGCACGGATGGCTCATCATAAATACAAAGCAGGCCGGCGCTTTGTCAGGCAGCCTTCGACACTTTTATTGGCCCGGTCTGTCGGGGCGAGCAGTCCGAGTCCCGAGTCACGAGTCCGGGGGAAAGATCCCCTGTTTCCGGGGAAGAGGTGGCCGTCATCGATATGCCAGCAGCATCCTGCACTTGCCACTGCTCCTTGCTATGTCGCCTCCAGATCCTCCAGCTCCTGCTGCTTCTGCTACTACTAGCTCCTGTTCTTTGTGCCAAGCAAATGAAATTGAAAATTTTTATGATGCCAACACCAGGGGTAGCAAATAGAATGCTGAAAATTTAAGCAGCTGCATAAAGTTGGTTAATCTGCCGGCTGATTAAGACGAGATTGAGCAGCGCCCGGGGTCGGACACCTCTCGACATTAATGGCGGAGTCAAAGCCAAAGTCTGTATAATTTTTATGGCCTCCGATGGGCTACACGTGCTGCTCGACAATGTTTATGACCGGCCCTGTGGCAACTGTGCAAACTGTAGGAACTGTGGAAGCTAAAGCTGGAAACTGAAAAGTGCAGCTCGAAAATTTTCTAGGGCGGAACTCTTGAGCTAAACGAGTTAGCATTTTGGGGCAGAAGGGCGTTCGGAAAAGTAGCTGGCAAGTAACAAGCTTAACCGCAAAAGTTTTAAATAAACTTTTGTTGCTGTTGTTCCTGGCAAAAATATATTTGCAGAATGCGTCCGCGCGAGCGGCATAACTATAACTTCCGATTCCGTTGGCTGGCTTTGGCTTTCTGGAATGGGATGGTCATGTAAATGGGGAAGGAGTACGGCAGTGTGGATGGGCTGTGGGAGCCGTTTTCCTTGTAATACAGTTAAATATAAATTCAAAAAATATACGAGTGTACGGGGGAGTTTGGCGAAAGCAACTTTGTTTGCCACTATTTTCGTTGTTGGTTTTTACTTTTTTACTTTTTACTTTCTGCTTTTTCGCCTTGGCCATCTTTTTCTGCTCTTCTCGCCAGGCTTTTCCCTCGTATTCGTTACTTATGCAATTTGCATGAGCGGCAAACACCCACGAACAACTAACAAGTCTGCAGCACCAGCAGCAACAACAAGCAACAACTTTGGTTGCAACAACAATGGGAAAGGCAAGCAAACTTCCGCCTGATGAATAAGTGTCTGCCGCCCCCCATTCCCTCCCTACCGCCAGAAGGCGTGGTCATGTTTGCCACCCATGTTTAGTTTGTTTAACTGTACGCAGCACACAGCAATAATAAAAACAGCTTCCTAATTGAGAAAATAAAAATCAACAACTAGGATAACCGCTCGAGCGGCGACAATGGGCAGGACTCCGTCAAAATGAAGTCCTTTTTGGTAGAAGGACAGTCGGAGAAATCAGGCATGGTTAAAGCTTGTTAAACTTTTTAAAGTTAATGCAAAAACAGATTTATCACAACATGCTTAAAGTTTGTGGGAATATTAAATATTTGTAGTAAGGTTGGTTCTTAAGCAGGTCCCGTAAACTATATTTGTTTAAGAAAGAATAGTATAGAAGTCAGACTAATTGTTGGAATCGCGTTACACATCGACTTGCAAAGGTAAAGCTTACACATCCGCTGATTTCATCTTGTCCGTCTCATTTAACCCATTGTACCGATGTGGGAAAGCAGCGGCTTCAGGATGAAAAGGATATGCAGCGGCAACTGCAACTGCAGCGCTGTCCAGCCGCATTCTGGCATAAATTTAACGCCGCACAAGTCGGACTTCCGGCCAGAGCGACCGCCATGTTGTTATGCATGCAGTCTGCGCCGGCAAAAATGCAGTTTAACCGAAAGAATGAAACAGGAGCTGGGGCAAGCCAACCAGATACAAAAGGACCAAGGACCATGGACCAACGACCAACGACCATTGACCAGACCAGACCAGTCCCCGGCTCCAAATGAAGTTATTCCAACGCTGATAGCCAAACGAGGGGCGCGGACTCATATTAATTTCTGCTATCTCGGCGATGCTCTACATGCGTACTGCAAATGCTGCTGTGCGCGCAGCTCTGGCAATAAATTTGATTTGTTTAGCAATTTGTTGCATATCGCATTGCGCATACGCCCCATACATCCATCTCGCCGTCCGCCGCCGTCGCTTTCGCTGTCGTCATCGCTCTAGCCCGCAGTTGCTTTAACGATGAATAACGCGATTCTCCGGGGCTTCCCTTTGTTTTTAGGACTGCCTCTATTTGTTGTTCGGTGTTTTCATGTTCCAGCTCCATGCCACATTTTATGCACTCCCATTGACAATAATTTATATTGAAATGTGTCACTGCAGCTGTTGAAGTTCTTTTATCAGAGTGGGGGTGTTGCTGCATTAGTTGCAACTGCCGCATTTAATTTCTGGGCACAGCCATTAGTCGTTGGTATTTAATATTAAAACATAAATCTATCTCTCTGTTATCACAAAAGGGAAAACATGACATACTATGATAATGATTTACTGAATGAAAATCACTTCTTTATCATTCAATAACAAAAATTTAAAAGCAATATTTTCCTTTTCGTAATAATAGATAATCCTTCCAGAGTTATTTCCTTTTTTTGCCAAAATATTTAAAACTTAAAGCCACGCCTTACAGTTTTCCCAGCCAGCAGTTATGGCCAAGAACTCCCCCAATTTGAGTTGCATTTGTAATTTGTCTGGTAGGACAGTAACTTTCAGCACGCAGTCCGCCAATTGGTGACACTAGCAACTTGCAACAAACTATGCTGCCCCCTTTTTAAGTGTCCCTCAGCACGACCTCGATGCAAGTTGGTGGCATCTTCGCGTGCACTTTATAATTAATAACAATTTAGCATGCACTTAATTTTAATTATTACTCAATTAGGTCAGCGCCATTATAATTTAAGCACCCGGCACACTGCTGATAATTAAGCGAGGGCGAAATTAAACAATTTCCAGTCCCGCGGAATGGAGTCCTGCCATCCAGACAAAACCTTCCGCGTCTTGACTTCGTCCTTTTCCGGAGTGGCGCCTCCGTTCGCGGGTTTCCTTTCCGTTTGTGGACAGGGTCATTAGGGATGGTTTGTGTGTAAATTTGATTTCACAACATTTACTCAGTGCGGTGCTCAAACTTTCGGCCTTTACGATCCACATAAATTTTACGACCAAGTTCAAGTTATAAATAGTTGACAACTCTGGTCTCCTTCTCCGTCGAACCCAAACTCAAATTAAGTGAGAATGGCGAACATTTCATAAATGCATGATGGTCTATAGTTCAGCTTCAGCTTTAAGGCAGTCGTATTTATTATATAAAAAGTCTAATAAATGTTCTTTAAATATTTAAGATTCCTTTAAGTTAGTTCTTGTTAGTGATTAAAGAATCTTTTGTTTTATTGTGAAACCAATATGTTAGCCACAAAAATGGAAATCGAAGCTGTGTGAAAAAATTGAAACTGTCCTACTCTACCCGTCGTCAATGTAATATCTGGGGAGGCTGCATCCCTGGGCGCCGTGATCTATAATTCCATTAATTTTTGTTGAAGGTGTTACAATTGAAACCGACGGGAGATTTGACGGGGAAGCAATTTGAATGTCATTAGGTGGGCCCGCGCACGGCGCAGTCAGCCGGAAAGCCGGCTAAGTGAGAGCCAGGCAAAAAGGCATTCGACTCCATATCTGATTGAATAATAATGAGTGCTTAAGGATTTAATGTGCTCCCGGCAGCTGCCAGGCCCCAGACACCGACTACCTCCAGGGAACAGACATGTAGGGAAACAAAGCAAGACAAGAGTGTGTAGTCGATGGATCCGACATTGAGATACCCCTAGAAACAATGTTTATCCATTAACAAGAACTATGAAATGTAGCATATAGTATGGGTTAAACGGGAAATCATCTTGAAGTTGTTACTGTTTAGTTTTATTTCTAGTAACTCGTGTATACCCTCTAACTCATCTAGTACCAAGCCAAATGTTAAATGACAAACCAAGAAAAGCGGGAACATATCTGGATCTTTCCCGGCACTTTGTTGACAGTGGCATGGCCAATGGGGACTCCAGTTGGCTTGATGCTGATTGCCAAAAAGATTAAAATGCATACGGAAAGAAAAAGGTATACAAAAGGCGCAGACAGCTCACACCTATGGATAGAATTGAATGTCCTTATCGTACGGATTCAAATTATTCTGAGACTAAAGCAGTGCTGCCTTGTCAAGCAGATTTTTGTCACAATTTGAAACCTAGATTTTATTTAACTAGTAAATGAATCAATAATTTAAAAGCTTTTAAACATGCATTTAAGTATTAAGCTAAATTAATATCTAGAAAATATATAAACTCTCCACGCTGACGATCTCGCAAGAAGTTGGTATTTCTTAGTTTTGAGTATAGAGGAGCTTCGAGATACTTTGTTACCAAACGCTGTCTGAATCTTTTGAAATTATCAAAAAAAAAACTTCATGCTACCAGTCCGCAGTGAATTGCCGACTTTTTTCATATATCGATGCAATACTAAATAAACTTGCTAAAAAATATATATGCACTTAATTATAGTGCCGCTATCTGTGCCAGGCCTTTGATTGGGCTAATGCGACCTAGTTTGGTCAGCCAAGTTTTGAAAGCCAAAATGAATTGAATTTTTTACCCAACAAATTTAAATTTAAATATAAAATTATTTTTTAATTGGTGAACTTAAATTTTGTTACTAATGCAGGCCCAAGGAATGCATAACGATATTGACCATAACTAGAGGTACAGGTACAGGGAAATCAAAATAAGAATGGTATTGACTTGCACTTGAGTACAAGAGACTCCTGCCTTGTCACCCTCTCTGAAATGAAATATAATTAAAAAAGGGTTAGAATGTGGTGAAAATCATAGCACCTTGGGGGAACATTTTTGTCGAACTGCCCATTAACATTGCCCGCCGGATAGTATCTCACTACCACCCAGTAACGTCCTTGCGAATCTTTGGCTTCACCGTAACCCATTGTCTTTGAATTCTTCCAAACTAAAGCTGTGAAATGGCCAGTCTCCATGCTAAACCCTGGGTTTTTAAAGTCGTAAAACTCGATTTCATCGTACCACATCTGGTCGCATTGCAAAGGTTCTTCCGATCGCATACACAAGTTCTCACCATATTTCCCGGCGGCATCTGAATGTTCCAACTTTTGGCTTGTGGCTAATACCTGTTTGACAGGTTAAGAGTGAAGTATGAAGAATTTAAAAGGTAAATACCCACTTTTGCATAAGCTTCGCAATCGTCTGAGAGTTTGTCATCTAATTGAAGAGGCGGACAGCCGTGCCTACTTCTTAACCGATTGTGCTCCTTTAAGTGGTCCTCCCTTACGCCAGCTTGTACCGCAACTAGCTAAAAGTAGATTTATGGATAAATTCTGCTTTTAAATCCACAAATTTGATATTTTACCCAACTAATAGCCAAAATTATTAATATGTTCACCAAACCCATTTTTCAGTATTATACATAGATAAAAGTCAGAAATATCTTGACAAATTTTACAAAGAATGAGGTTGCTGTAAATATTTTGAAGTTACGACATTAGTATGACCAGATTTGTAAAAATATTTTTTAACGGTGATAAAAAATTCTAGAATTTATAGGCTTCTAAAACATCTTTGCCCTTAGAAATAGCTTAATGTACAAAACGAGCTCCCTTGAGATTTCTTTCTGAATAACTGTTCTTTTTCTTGTCCTTCTATTCCATTTTTGTGTCGAGAAATTCATTTGCGCAATCCGGCTGCTTCACTATCGTTATCCCATTTACTCTCACTTACTAAACAACTCAAGGGACCAAGTATAGCATTAGATAGCTCTGCCTCACTTACTCTTTACAATTCGTTAAAGTTATCTACTCGTACTCGTACCAGCATAACATCAGAATGTACAGAAATAAGAAACAACTAGAGACGATACAACCTGCTAGAAACGAGAAATAGAAACGAGAGGCTCACAACGACCGTTAAATTCAAATCAAATCATCGTGTCACGACATACAGTGATATATGTACAGTGATGGATAAAATAATAGAAACGAATTTTCACTTTGGGTTTAAATACGTATTTTTAATAAGGAACGTGGTTATGACTGGATATTTTAATTTTTTTTTTATTTATATACATCTATCTTACATACTAAAAAACAAAAATGCATTTAACTTTATTCATTTAGCTAAAAAATTATATTTGAGGTAAATTTGATGTTTTTGACTTGGAAATAAAAATAGAAACGAACTGACTAATCGTCAATCAAATTGACTAGCTTAGCAAAATTAACCATGAAATGTTTTCAGGTTTAATATTTTGTTGCGTTACCATGGTTTTTCAAAAATTCCGGCACACCTACGAGTCATGGACTCCACAGGATTGGAGCATATTGCTGCCTTAATGGAGTACCACTCCTCCTGGACTTTCTCCCACAAATGCTCCTTATTTTTTGGCTGAAAACCACTTTTTAAAGAATTCCCCACAAATGCCCAATACGGTTTAAGTCGGGTGACTGAGCTGGCCAATCTATAACGTCGACTTTATTGTCCTGGATCCCCTTTTTAGCAAGCTACGATGTGTGTTTGGGATCGTTATCCTTAATAATTTCCCACTTCAAAGGCATTTCATCTTCGGCATGTGTTAACATATTGTTCATCATTATGTTTAAGTAGTCTGTACCACAGATATTACCCTGTATCCAATATAGTGGACCAACACCTGAAGCAGAGAAACATCCCCATAGCATTATAGCATTATATATATCTTATACATAGTACCCGAGATCAGTCCTTTTATACGATTTTTATGCTGAAGAAAATGACAAATGCATATTTCATGATGGAAGTCAGTATATTATTAAAATTTATTTTAATTCGAGTTTTACAGTGTTGGCTGTTGCACTTTACGATAATAGATTTATCAGGGAAAATTTGTATATATTTAGTTGGTATTTTCTGTACTTATGTGCTTTATGTGTAGCATTACTTTAACCAAAACAATTACACTTATAGAACGAAATTTAAGAAATCACCTGTTGAAAGATTTTAACATGTTTATCGTAAGAAGTGTGTTCAGAGTGTCCTCACGTAGGAAGCCCTTAAATATACATAAATACTTATAGATATGTTTTTGTGTGCGAAAGAAGAACGTTAAGAGTCGTTCTTTTGAGAGTTTCGGAGCTCCGTGAAAGTTTTGTTTTTGTAACGCTGTCTGAACCTTTGAACTTTTTTGAATATTCTGTTCTAAATGGAATAATAAAAGAAAAAATAAAACAACCATATTTTAAAATTACAAAAGATTTAGTTATAATCAATTACAGGCAAAATTTGATTTCTTTGTGCAGATTGGGCAAAACTGAGTTAGCATAGTTTTGCCAAAACTGCACAAAGACATTCAAAAGCAAAATGGTTTGTTTGAAAAGACAAATTTACAACCAGTGCAGGCACAAAAACTGCTTAACGATATTTATGAAGTACCGCCACCAGGAAAATGATTTGAGAATCGTGTTTACTTGACTTTGTTGAGTAGCAGAGCTGGAAATTCTCAGGGCCGACCCTCCAGTACCATAGTCTACCTTTCCGCTGAGATGAAATATAATTAGAATTAATTTAAGATATGATTATAAATAAAGTACTAGAGCGGCCTTGGAACATTTTCCTCATACTCTCCTCTATAATTGCCGGGAGGATAATACCTAGCTACCACCCAGTAGAACCCATGTTTATCTTGGGCTTGGCCGTAACCGAATATTTTTGTATTCTTCCAAACTAGAGCGGTGAAATGCCCAGTACTCATGGAAAAGCCTGGGTTATCATAGTCGTATAACGCGATCTCATCGTACCACATCTGATCGCATCGCATTGGCTTTGACGATCGCATACACAAGTTTTCACCATATTTTTTGGCGTCAGTTGAATGAATCAACTGTCGTTTTTTGGCTAATATCTGTTTAGGACAGTCAGACAGTAAGAATATGAAATACGAAAATTGAAAAGGCCAAGACATACTTTTGCATAAGCTTCGCATTGAGCCGAGAGTTTGTCATCTAATATCAGATCCGGGGAGCCGTGCCTTCTTCTCAACTCATTATGCTTTTTCAAATGGTTCTCCTTAGGGCCCGCCTCTACTGCGACTAACTAGGTTTGGTTAATGGATAAATTCTGATTAACAATCACAAATTTGATATTTTACCCAACAAACAGCCAAAACATATAATATCCTCACCGAACCCATGTTTAATTTTCATAAATAAATTTACACGTTTAATATTTTGGCAAGTTTTTCCGAGCTTCAAATTACTTCACTTTACTTTCTAAGCCAAACACAAAATGATTATATTTAGATTTTAGTTAGTTTAGTAAGACTTTTGGGGCCTTAAAGAATTTGGGCTTTAGTTTGGGTAGCTTTTAAATTATTCATGCTCCGAAAAGGAATTTTTCAAGTCTGCAGTTGGGACTTGGTAGTACTGTTAGTACTGGCTATACGTTCAGGAGAACAGAAGGACGTACAGACGAGATCGAGCCTGCTATTGATCCTGATCAATAAAATATAGCGCTTGATCTTATTCCTTCTTTAAAAAAGTTAACCCAAATTCAATACGGATTTGTGACGATTAATAAAACTTTTTAAATTGTTTTTTAAATTAAAAGTAATTATTAAGGATGAAAACTTTATAAAAGGTCCGTTAACTTAATTCGATCTAAAGGCCTACAAATTTGGAGCCACGAAAAAGACTAATTATAGAGACTTTACTCATTTATTGTTTTATAAATAAAAAATTTTATATTTTGTTCTATATGTAGTATTTTATATATTGTTATGTGGGATATGGGTATATTAAGGTATTAAGCAGCCTATTTAATTTCATATGGGGACACACTTTTCGGAATTCCACAACCTTGTAGCTTTTTTCCATCAGCCAAAACGCCATATAGAACTGTCTCTTTTCATCAAAGAATGTCTATACCCATCACCCTCTTCCTAATAGAAATTGATCCTTACTAATTAAAGTTGAAGTCAGTCGATTGCGAATATTGAAGAGAGCAAGTGTCATCCATAGAGTGCGGAAGTCGTGAAGTTTAATACAAAACCTTTGTTTCTTTAATTTACCTTTATATATATCCGAAATAAACATAATCATAAACATATTGACCATATCCACAGCTAGTTTAGCTAGTTGCATAAAAATAGGTTTCTGGCTTACTGGCGTTGGAAAATGCAGTTGCCCTGTCGTTAAGCAGATTTCCACCTCTTATAATAATTATAACTTTTAGGTAAAACCTATTCTTGTTTTATGGAGCTATCTTTAAGTAAAAAAAGGTTTTATTACAGAATAAACTAAAAATTTACTAGACACAAGGACAGCATGTAGGCACATAACATGGGAAATGCGTTACTTTGAAACTGAGGACTTGAGCTTTTGGCGCTATCTTCTGAGTCTCTCCCTATCACACCACTAAATTCATCTTCAAACCCACTGAAATTAATTTTAATTAAGATGGGTCTTAAAATGGTTTAAAATCAAGTACTCGACCGGCTTCGGAACATTTCTCTCGAACTCCTCCTTGATATTGCCTACTGGATAATATTTTGCTACTACCCAGTATAGCCCGGTTTTATCTTGGGCTTGACCGTAACCCATGGTCTCCGAACTCCTCCAAATTAGAGCGGTAAAATGGCGAGTATGCCGGCCATAACCTGGCTTCTTAAAGTTATATTTCACCATCTCAGCGTACCAATCCTGAACGCATCGCAAAGGTTTTTCCGAGCGTATACAAATGTTTTCTCCATCTTTTGCACTATTTCCAAAATGTTCCAAATCTCGCTTTTCGGCTAATGTCTGTTTAAGGTGTTCAGAGGGAAATTCGGATAATTTGAAAGGTCAAAACATACTTTTGCATGAGCTTGGCACTCGTTTGAGAGGTTGTCATCAAGTTTCAAATCCGGACATCCGTGTTTTCTTCTCAACCGATTGTGCTCATTCAAATGGTCAACACTAAGGAAAGTGGCTATCTCGACCAGCTGCAAAGGTGGTTAATCGATAAATTCTGCTTTGAAAACCACGCATTTGAATTTTTACCAAACAAAAAACCAAAACCTTTAATATGTTCCTAAAGTTCATGCTTCATTTTTGTAAATAGGTGAGCTGTAAATACCTTGACAAGATTTTCGGAGTATCAAATTACTTAATTTTTACAGAGTACATGTGATCAGTTTATACCATAAGATACTCCTTTCTGTGCTAGCCAGTTTTTAAATAATTATCACAATAAATAAATAAATAATAATAGCCAAAAATCATTTCGTCTACAACTTTCAAAGTTATTGGTAGATTGATGGGTATTGATAAAAAAATATTATTCAAGTTCTAAAAAAAACATTAGCAGTAATATTATGAACATCACAGCTTATCGCGGACTGTGGAAGTTGGAGTGGTCATGACCACATGAAGAGCAGCGATAACATCTCTAGAAACTTTATCAATTCAACCTTCTAAGCCTTATAGTTCCTGAAATCTTAGCGTTCATACAGACAGACAGACATTGCTATGCCGACTCGGCTATTGATCCTGATGAAGAACATATAACTTTCTGGATCGGAAAGTTTCCTTTAAACCTTAACAAACGATGACTTTTTACTACACCTAATAAATTATTAGTTCTACACATGAGATTAAAATGTTCTGGAAATATAAAAGATATAAGATAACTTAAAGTAGATTTTCTAAGCATAGCAAAACTGTAATTACTAATGTTGTATGTAAATAGTCGTCGTTAACTAAATTCGATCTATTTTCCTTGAAATTCTGGTGCCAGCCACGGCAATTTTTGTGTTCTGTTGACAGCTGGTCGGAGGTTTAATGCTTTTGGCATTAGGGCACCGACTGACAGATGACTCCCAAGAGCACTCGGAAAAATTGTAGTTAATCGCACACAAAGTTGTATTTACAATATTTAGATGAAACTGCTAGAGAAAATTACTAATTGTTGGTTGATTTTCATAATTTGTTTGAGTTCGATTTTAGATTTTAAAAGCTAAAGTTTTAGGCTTTTTATTTATAAACAACGCTTAAGTACTTCAAAAACCTTTTAAGACATTAAAAATATTATTTTCTTGTAGTTTGTTTCATACGTTATAATTAAAAATGTAATTTTTTAATCTGGGATTTTCAAAATAAACTTAACCTTTCTACGCGATGTGTGATTATGTGAACTTTGTTTTCCCTCCATACAAACGAGCTGGCTGGCTTATTGGCGGTGCAGAGTGCAATTATTTTGAGCTAGTAACCGCCACCAGGACAAAGGATAATGCGATGAGTTCAGATCGTCAGCGGCAACCAACTCTAATAGAGCCACGCCCCCTATCCGCAAGCCCTGTGCCAGATATTAAATTCTCGCCGTTGGTCCTCTGGCTCCCATTTTTGCTCCATGGAGCTGCGGCAATAAAGGTTTGGCTTTGGCTGGCATGTGTGAGGGCACTTTGGCGCGGGATGAGCTGTTGTTCCCACACATGTGGCTGATGCTTTGGGCCATCATTGTTGACAACAATATCAGTGGCTTTGGAAACAGCGGCAGCCGCAGCAACAAAAAAAAGGGAAAGAAAAACAACTGGAACACGGGTTGTGGAACCTACTACTTTGTCCTTCGCGCGGCTTTGGTTACTGGTTTTTGGCTGTAAAATGTCAATTTGGGCCGTGACGAAGATTTATTGTGTTCGTGTTTGATAGGCGCGCTTAAATATCCCATTCAGCGTACATATTTCCACTATCAATTTTGGCGGCTGGTTCGTCATTGCTAGTAGAAAACCAAGCAAAAGTGTTGCTAGAAAATGACAATTTCTGGATAATGGAATCAGCCCTCTTCTACTTAAAGAAACTATACTCATATTTTTATATTTCCTAGTCCCTTAATTTCATAATAAATAGAGGTTTTGTCAATGTTAAGTGGTTAAAGGACATTGTTAAGAGAGGTTGAAAAGAAAGGGTTGAGATCAAAAAAAGGATAACTAAAAAGCTATCTGGTTTTGACCTAGTTTGGAAGTCTTAGAAGTGTCTTCTTACACTAAAGTTTAATAGTTCAAATATGAATGTATCGTATAAGCAGATCTCACTGATAGCTTCAGCATGTTAATAATACTAACTATGTAGTACAAATGTATCTATAACTTTTTCATACCACAACTCAATCACAATTTGAGCGCATTCCGCACGAACTATATTTGGCTGGGAATAAATGCAAAACAGTCGGCAACGAGCCAACGAGTTGAACCGTTGCCAGGCGTGGCATTAAAATGGAAATGGCATATTCATGCCACATAATGGTTAACCGACATCACAAGAGCAACACGCAAATTCCCGCATTTTTGTGAAAATTTCACCACGATAAAGGCTTGGAAGAAGGAGGACAAACACACACATACACACTCACAAATTGGAAGGAAAAACTTGCATAATAAATGCAATTTATCCATCCGAGTTGTCTCCTGCCGCCGCTCCCCAGGCTGCCCCATTCGCACAATGCCGATAACTCAATAGCGTAACCCCGGGGACATTGGCATAACTAAACTAATTTCTTTTAATTCGAACAGGGCAAACACTGGCCAAACCGGCTCTCTGAACAATGATGGTCAAATGCCTGGGTGCGAAACTTTGATGGCGCCCCATGCATTGACCACTCCAGTCTAGGTGAGCTAACCGTCCTCCGTGTTTCAGGCTACGAGCTACGAGCTCCAGGCTCCTGTTTTTCCTCCGCCCAATCCACTTTCTCTCTGGTGGCAGCCCTGACCGACATTCGATGAATTGACCAACGCAGCTTGTTATTTTTCGTGTGCAACAGCGCGTTTCATTCGCTCCTGGAGGTTATCTGCCCCTAACGCCCCATGGCATCATCCCTACCAATCAGAGATGTCTGTTTCCTGTTTTGGATCAATTTGAATAAATATGGGTGGATTTAAGGTTATTTTATTGTTGCTTGTTAACTACTACATACCTTAGATACTGAATCTGACTAGCTAACTATCTTTAATAAGGAAGAAATTCTTCGAAAAAAACCTCAAATAAATAGGGTAATGTAACCAGATATCCTAAGATTATGTATTCTAGAATCGGAAAATTTGGCATCACTAATTATTGGATAGCTCCTAAAACCTAGGAAAGCTTGCCTTGCCTTTTTTGTCTGGCCAAAAGTTTTTCTCTGTTTTCGCCAGATTCCGCATTTGGTGAGTTGGACAGCCGACGTCTGTTTTTCACCTGGCAGGCTTCAGGTTCTCATGGGTTCGGAATGGGAATCCCCTTCCCTGTTTGTTTGTATATGGGAAACCGGCGGTGCTTGTCCATCTGTCTGTGCGAATGTGTTTGTGTGTGCTCCTGAATTTTGTGAGCAGGTGTGCGTGAATTTACGCTGACAATTGTGATTTTCGCATGGTTCAGCATCGGGCAAAGGTTTTTAATTAGATTTTACTTCATTTTCCGCTGTCATTCAATGCAATGGAAAGCGGTTTCTTTGTACTATTTCAACCCAACGCAGCGGATAGTCCAGTTAAACAATCCAATCGTAAGTTGGTATTAATTTCTCGGACTCTTTGAACTATCTAACATGTTTTCCACCGCTGACAATTTGGAGAACATTATTACGGATTTTTTTATATTTTTCCACAACTTAAAGTTTGTACTTTACACATTTTGCCCATCATCTTTTATGCCATTTTTTGTCTTCATTTTAGTAATTTAAAGTTCACATCAAGCTTGTTTGTTGTATGGATTAAGTTTTCTCATGAAGAAGTGCTTGGATTCCTCCAGTGCCTCTCTACACATGCCTCTCTTACATTCGAAAATATATTTTTTACTTCTTATTATCAACAATATATAAAAACAAATTTTGGTAACATAATAGTTATTAATTAATTTCGTTTAATAAAATATAAAAAGATTTTAATAGTTAATATAATTTATCGTTTCAAAAGCACAAAATGTTCTTTAATTTTTATATTAAAAAGGTTTATACTTAGAGCCTTGTTCTCAGCTTTTTCTCCGAGTGTATGTTTGCTCGACATGAGCTAGTTTCTTTTTTTCAGCTAAGGGTTTAACGAGGCTGCTGCCTGAATGCGTGTGCTAATGTCGTCCTTTGTGAACCGCAGATTGCCTTTAAACTTTTGTGAATTCTTTCCATTTCTCATGAAAATGAATTTAAAAAAGAAATAAGTAAGGGAAGAAAAATGGTACAAAAACAAAACTTATTCATATATTTTGTGAATATGAAATCCGAAATTTCTTCTCCTGATATGTTGTAACAGTTTAGACATAAAGTTAAGCTAAATAAACACAATTTAGCGAGAAAAATCTTTTAGTAAGTCTTATTATTTTGATATTTTTTCGTTAAAATATAATAAATAACAATAAAAAGTCACTCCTTACGTTATTATATTCATCATTCTATGTTCAACTTTAAACCTATAGACAAACATTAGGAATTTACAGCTTACATTTTTCCTTCAAACAGTTTTCATTGAGATTTTGGTTGAAACACTAAAGTGTATATAATCTTTTTGTTAGATGTTTCTTAGTTGCCAGTTACTGCTTAGTTGGTTTCAATGGATCCAGCTAAAGTTTTATCAAGTTACCCAGTCAAGGGGATGCAGTTCAAGATTTCCCCATGCCAGGTCCCACCTGGAATACCGTACACTAAAAAGGAGTCAGAAGGGCCAATCCCTAAGGAGGAAACCAAATCAAAAGTGCTACCGATTTACAGCCAGCCCAAGCCGGCAAAAGTGTTCCATTGTAATCACTTTGAAGATTTACAAGAACCTTTGACCATTGAGGAATCATTGGAGGGTACATTTGAGGATGGTCTTTTGGAGTTTGAGGACATTTTCGAAGAGGTTAGTCGAATGAAACGGCGAGTTAGTCAACTCAATAACCTACTTGGCACCAATGTACCGGAATGTCCAAGCATCGATGTCTGCGATCAAGAACATATACTTTTGGGGATTCCTTCTCCAATCCATCCTGATATCCTCAAGCTAAGGGTTTCAAATATCAAACTGAAAAATCAGATCACTCTGCTGCTACCCGTCCGAAAGTCAGTCCATTTGGCCACCAAATTCATCTGGAACGAATACTGCAGAAACAAGAAGCTCGTGGATGAGCTGCTCAGAGGCATCCAGGAGCTGGACTTTTACAAACTCCAATTCGAGAAGCACGAAGGACTGTGCCTTCAAAGGTTTCGGTTCCTGGAAAACGAAAAGTACAGTGGCAGGGAATTTTATCAATATATCGATAGGAGGACAAGCTGGATTAAAACGGACTTTAAAAGACAAATAATTAGAAGTGAATACAACCCGTTCAAGGACAAAGCCTTCAATGTGATTCGGGTTCTAGGAAGGGCCTCGGACTGTTTAAGGAATCATATGTTAGGCGTGATTAGTGACAAAAAAAATGAACTATTTGAAACAGAATAAAATTTGAGTTAGTTTGATAAGTAAAATCTAAAACTTTCACTTTGCATTTAAATGAAGTTCCCTTTTCTAGGATGCTGTTAAAATATTCGTAAGTTCATATATAAAATATTTTTTGTATTACCTCCATTGATTTTCCATTTTTCCTATCTCTAAAAAGTTTGGTGGATATGGGTGCTGTATAGGTTGCTAAACAAATTGATTTATTTTTGATTTTTATAAACTTACAAAACTTTAAACTTAAAACTTACAAACATTTTGAGTTAAAAGAAAATCTTGATCATTGAAATGTTTAGGTTATTAGAAATATCAAAATTACTTTAAACACATAGTTAGGAACAGATAGGAAATTTCAGAAAGCGATACATTCTTTCCAACACAAAGAAGTCTTGTTCTGACCGCTTTTCGAAAACTCTTAAACAACCGCAGGACCGCCTGTCGCCTGCGATTCCGAGCCCGGCTCACAATAAACCCACAAATCCCTCTTTAAATTGTTCAATTTGTCAGGACTCACAGGTTCGCCTCCATATGCGAGTTCCCTTGATTATGTTGGCCATCGGAGAAGTAGCATCTACATGGCGGCAGCTGCCACAAATGGTGGTACTCTGTTGTCCTTTAACGTGAGGAGAGCATATTTTCTATTGCCCTTGTATTGTGTACCTCTGCTTTGATGTAATTTAGTAGGCAAAGACTTGGGTCGTTTTAAGCTTTTTAACTATTTGTTACAATCTAAATTCAGTTTTTGCTTTGTTTTATTTATAATAATGATTAGGTTTGTAAACAGAAGTTTTTGTCTCAACAAATGTATTACTACTTCTGAGTTAGTTGCCCATTAGTAGAGTATCCAGTTTTCGTGACTGTGGAAATGCCTGATTTCTTTTGTCGCTTTCGGTTTCGGTGTTTGTTTGTACTTTTGGGTCCGACAACGAAATGTATTTAGCATAAAAATTTACGATAATGAGGACTAGAGAGCAGCAGAGACACTACCAAACAGACAAGTAGACAGCGCATCAAATTTCGCATAGGCAAATAGACAAATAACTGAGGTTTACCCCCTGGGAGGTGGGTGGCCCTTCCCAGCAACATTTGTGGGCGAGCTGTCTATCGCAATGTGCTGCCACAGGTTCTCCGCAGTCAAGTGTCATTGCTCGGCTAATGCGCAAAGTTAAATTAATATTTACCACGAGTCAGTTGTTTCGCCTTGATTTCTTCGGTGGCATTTCAAAAATTGACGAATTTCAGTGCGGTCTAACCAGAGCATCAAAGTCAACTGCGCTGTCTGAGTTTTTCATCCCGGCATTCTGTGTGGCTCTTACTTGTTTTCCGTCAGATTAGCAAAGTTTTGTGCAGTCGTTTATTTAAACTTTCCTTTTGCCGCGGACGCAGCCGGGATGGATGTTATGAGATGGCTGACGAGTGGAATACAGCAAATTTGATAACGTGATAATCGCATTTGGTATGCTGGCTGAACGACAATCGGCATACAGAACTGACTCTCCACGTGAATGTAAAATGCGGCAAGTGCATTGCAGACACTTGGCTGCCGTGTGCCTCGAAGGAAACTTCCTTTTGCGGGAATTATGCTGCATGCCTCACTGCGAGTCCTGGTGCGAAAAATGAAAATAAATGCAAAGGTATCCCGAGCACTTCAGGTTGCCATTTACATTCTGCATTGCCTTTTTATTTTGTCAGTCGCATTGAAATCCATGAATAGAATGTGTGTGCCAACTAATGCGTAGCTCCTTGAGAGCTGTAATCGCTGGCAGGGCGCCCTCAAGCCACTTTCAAGGGGTGCACCTTAAGTAGCCAATATTTCTCTTATACCTTACAAGATTGTTAGATTAAACAATCGGTTTTATAATATATTAAAAGGTTAAAGTGGAAGGTGACCTAAAAAAACCCCTTGTCTACGCCCATGCTTATTTGCACGAAACTCAGTGCAGTTGGCTTACGCGACGGGAGCTCCCTTCATTCTTTCTTTTGCGTCTATAAATTATTCATTCCGTTTGAGATGTTTGATGTGCCTCCAAGAAGCATGATGTCCCCACCCAAGCCCACTCGCACATTGCCAATCGGTTTGTTGCAATTTCTGCACTCTTCCTCTCTCTCGCTGGCTCCCTCTCTCGTTGCAACTTTGCTTTTCCCATAGCTTTTTTACCCACATTTCATTGAATTCATTCATTTTTTAGCTGCCTTCGCCGCACATCCTGGGCTTGTTATTGTTGGTGTTTGCCACAGCTTTGCATAAATAAGATAAACACAAGGATGAGCTGGGTGGGTGGGTGTACGCTATACCCACCACATTCCCATTCCTCGTTTCGGGATTCTAAAGTCCAGGAACTCGGGGAGAAGCATCCACCATCGTCTCGAGTCGGTGCTGTGATTTATTTTGCACTCAATGTTTGCCAAAGTAAAATTGATTGAAGCGTTTGTTGGCGCTTCAATTGATTTTCACTACAGTACGTTTACGTATGTTGCAAGAACCGCCCTCCCTCAATTCCCATCCCCGATCTGTGCTTTTTTGCACCTTATTCTCTTCCCGATGCCCAGCGAAGCATTTCAAGTGCCCCAGCACTTGAGTCCCGGCTTGTTTACGGTGGTTAAATTAACTTTGGTCAATTTGGTTTTCGTCGAGTGGTCGGACATTGCATTGAGATGAGTTCTTTCGGACCTTCCATCCTTCTATGCTGTTGGCAACAATGGGTTATAGGCACAGCATCTCTCGCTTTACTGAGTACCATCTCTGAAGACCTTTAAAAGGAGGCTTGCCATGGCAATATAAGAACAGAAAATGTAAAAATATATTCAAAAGAATATGAAGGTGTTCTATAGTCCACTTGACTCACTTCATTTGGCAATCATGCTTATGGTAACAGAAAGCTACTTGATAATCATTAGGAAAATCTTTCTTTCTTATGCAAGTTAATTATTCGAAAAGATGTTGTCTTTAATGCTGACCCAAGCCCTTCTTAGCCGCACAATAGCCTTTCTAATCGTAGACCCATTTTAGTTTAATAGTCGGATAAACGGTTTGGCCTCAGAGACGTCAGTGGCAAAATCGCAACAATTCATCAAACTTCGTGCTGTGATTTTATTAACTGACGCTGATGGTGATTGAGGCACATCTGGGCCATCAACACCTGCAGCCGGCAGTCGATCATCGGGCGGCCATCCCTTGCTCCTTACTCCTTATTCGTTACCACTTACCGCTCACCACTTACCATCGCACTTGCCAATTCCCCAGCAATCACCACCAACTGCAGTCGCATAAATCTTGGCCTGTCAAGTGCAAACAGAAGGGGAGAAGCCATCAAAGATGGAGCTAACAAATTACTGACAGCAAAACAAAAATAAACCCAACAGAAAGAGAGCGGAGAAGACAGTGGAGATATATAAAAAAAAGGAGAAATAATAATGGCAATAATAATTATGCAGAATTTACCGAATATATACGAAATATAAAAATAAACACGCAACGCAAATGTATGCCACTCATTTTTATGAATGGGCATTTATCATAATTAAAAATTCTGCCAACACCGGCAAAGGTTCTCCTACAGCACACCACATCCACCTCATCCCATTGCCCATCATCCCATTACCCTCTTTCGGATGCCGACGTTTCTGACCTAAGACACGCCACACACATATAGCCAGAAATCGGAGAGTATCGGGAGAGTGCGTCACAGAAAAGCCGACAACAACGAGGACAGCTTTTTTGGGTCCTCGCCGCCTCGCGGAACAGCTGTTGCTGTTTGTTTTTGGGACGTATCCATGGGATAAAGTAAGGCACTGGAAGAGCCATTGGTGAATCTCGCAGTGCGCATGTCCGTCGGCAGTCGCACCCAAAGGACTCTCTTTGAAAAGAGAGCACCACGTCTCTTAGTTGGCTTACATGGTGATTTTCCGAGGTGGCTAGCTCGGCTTTTCCCGCGAGTTGGCCGAGCTTTTGCGGGGTCGTCGTGACTGCTGAAATCACCCGTCGCCACTTCGAATGCCGTTGTCGTGGGCTTCAGTTGTGTTTACCGCTCAGTGTGTACCGTTGCTGCCATCAGGTGTGACCCAAAACTGTGACTGTGACTGCGATTCGCTGTGACCAGCCGTGACTCTCGTGCGTCGTGCTTATTTGTTGTGACTCCCGGTGGCGTATGCTTGATTTGTGTGCCGCCCAGGCGTATGCTTGATTTAAGGCGCGTTCTAGGCAACGTTCTTGCAGTGCATCCTCAGGGATATCAACACAAATAATAATAACAACAAAAACCATCATTGAATTGTGCCGCTCCTTTGAAGTTAATCCACAGATATTCTCACACACACTCTGGATGGTAGTGTGTAGTGCGGTCGCTTTGTGTGGTAGTGAGGTTGTGTCTGTGTGTGTGTAATGCGTATGTAATCCAAGCAAATCTGTCACGTGTTTTGGATATCTTTTTCTGAGGCCGCCGAACAAAGCCCGGGAATTTATTGAAAAATCGCACAAAGGTGAGCCAATTCCATATACCTCCGAATTCCCCCTGCACTTTCCGTTCGCCTCCTCAGCATATGCCCGTTGATATGAAACGGCAAAAAATGACCCTATCACGTTGAAAATTAAAATAGTTAAGCAGCTTACGGGCCACGAGGACATAACTATGCGGATGCTAGACCAATGCAGTTAGCCCAGCCGGAATATTGATAATTGAATATAAATTGGTTATTTGAGGGACAGGAGTGGGATTCCAAATGGGTTTATACTTTTTATGGGTAGATAGTTGGATATGCTTCTTGTAAATTAATTTGAAGTTCGTTATTGAATTGGTTGTTAAGTGTAAGGAAATTATGATGTTCCTGAAAGTCTGATTTAAGGTTGATAATAGGATTAATTAAGAATGGTTTCATATTCTATGTATTTAGCATATCAACAAAAAAATAGCACTTACTGTTGCTTAGTTAAATGTTTATTTCATCCGATTAAATTACACAGAACACGTGTGTTGAACTATAAAATTAAGGGGCGTAAATATTTTGAGTTAAAAAGAAACAAAATTTAAAATTAAAAGAAAATCAAGATTAATGCTTAAATTAACGTTAAGAATAACGCTTAAAATCGCTATAAAAATATCAATATTTTCTAATTTTCTTCGAGCGTATACTTGACCATTTCGTAAACCGCAATGACATTCGAAATGTCAAAGTTAAAATCATAGTTCAAAAGCAAACGCTACATGGGCCACCCTGTACATGCCTTATAAACCCTCGTTTATAGTAGTGGCTAGAAAATTATAAGTTAGAAGAACTACCTCACAGACATAACCTAAACTACTTCAAAAGGTTTTTAATACGGGAAAGGATAATTACATACAAGTGAAGGGATCACTTTCGCATCAAATTTGCCAAAGATTTATGCGAATATTTGGCTGTAAAGAGAGTGCGGTCGACCATAAATTAAACGGCTAATGGTCACCCCAATGGCTTCCAAGGCCCCCTTCGCATTAGCAACATTTAACCTTTAAGCCCTGAAAGTTGGCCAAATTAAATGACAGAATTTGATTAGTCCCATACACGCAAGTGGCTTTGGGTGCCTCCCATCCTGAGCTGAGTATATAATAAATGAGGGGTTCTCGAACCCAGGTCGGGGTATCATTCCCAGTTGGAAAAGTTTGGGAACTCAACTCCACGACCCACCCCACACTCAATTGTTTATTTAACAGCAATGAAAAAATCATTACGCATTTCATATCCAAACTTCAAAAGGTGAAATTCCCATGAAAAATTATATAAATAAGTTGAAAAGTTTTTAATGCATATCAAAATAAAAAAAACATGAGAAAGCGACGGGGAATGTGACTAAAAAACAAATGTTGATTTAAAATGCAAAATGAGATGACAGCAAAAAGAACAAAGAGGAAAGCAGCGGTCGTGCTGTCCTGTTCGCAATTTGTCCACGTATTATAATACTTCCCCTCTTTCTTTATTTTTTATTTTTTGGTTTTTGAGGAGCTCCTCTGGCCTTGTCCTTGCCCTGCAAACCAAGTTAATGTCATTTGCATTCGCCCATATACCCACTTTCACATGCCCTACATATATTTCTCTCAACTTTTCACTGGCCATATTTTCTGGTTTGCCGCTCGCCGAGCTGCTCTCGCTTCAAGTTCATTCTGCATTAATAATTTAGTTGTCGTTTCGCCTCCAATGCGAATTCGAGTCGACACCCAGGAAAACTTGTTGGTCGCCCGCCCCTTCTCCCGTTTCCCGACGCTTTTCCTTTTTTGCCCCCTTGTAATTTGATTTTGTTTCCCTGTTTTCGGTTGTACTCCGCTGGTCAGCAGCTTCAATGGGAATTGCGGCTGACTCCATCAGTTTGGTATCATTTGCATGACTGCCTCTTAAGTTCGTTTTACTCGTCCTTTTACTGCGGGCTCGACAATAGGTTGTCTGATTAAATAAACGTGGCCATCTGTTGTTAAAGGTCCTTTGTGAGGTGCATAAAGAGGTTTTAAGAGGTGTTCGAAGGCTGTTACTTGATGGTTATTAGGTATTTTCATCTGGAATTACATTTTATAATTATTATTAGCAATCTTTAAGTCCTTAAAGATTTCTCATATCTTAATATATGTTAGCTGTTCATTGAAAAATCTACTTTTAAGTCATAATATAGTCGACTACATTGACCTGGAAAAACCTGAAAACTTTTAAAATTCCGAGAAACTTAATTCCTGTTAATCTTCGATTCTTAAGATTTTAATGAAGATTCAGAAAGTGTTTAAAGTTCAGTTAATCGTAAATATGTTAATTTTTTAATTAATTCTTCTATTATTAAATTCCTGATGGAATATAACTTATCGTAGATCCAAGTCATGGCCTCACCAAAAAATCATTTATTAAGGGCCTTTAAAATGTCTCACCCAAGATTTCACCAACCTATCACCGAGATTTCATCCTCGTTAATTTCCTAGATCCAAGAGACTTTTTTCCTCGCAAATTTCCTAGCACGAAAATATGACAAAACTGAAATCCATTAGGGTTCCATGAACTTTTTCTAGCTGCAACACTTCATTTGCACTCCACTTGAAGGGGAAAGAGAGCGCTGAGAGGAGAGTCTGGCGAAATTTGTTGTTATGAAAAATGATATTAAATCGCATTTTTCATTATTATTTTTCCGGTAAAATCGCGTTCTTCATCTTGTCAGACAGTTGTCTCAGCCAGCCCAGTGAAAAACCCATTTCGGAGACCAAACCCACAAGGCTCGTTTGCCGGCGTTCCATTTTCAGTGGCGCGTTGCGTTTTGTCCTTTTCAGGGATTTCGACTGGAACTGCAAGGGACAGGGCACAAAGAAAAGCGGGCAAAATTCTCGTGGAGGGAGATAGAGCAAGTTGAAAATTCAGAATAATGAGGAAACTAACGAGCCAAGACTTTCTCATTGTTTACTGGCGCAAAAATTGCGCGATTATTAATTTTCTATGCTATTTTGTAGCTCTTTTTGCTGCCCCACCACTCGCCACTAGTTCCTTCATCCTCTTCGGTTTTTCCTGCCACTGGCAGCCCAGCAGAGTTTTCTTTATTTTCCCCCAGTTTTCTTTTTTTAATATTTTGTAATATTTGCCACGTTTCCTTCGCTTCTTTTTTTTTGGCGCGTGCAAGTAATGGAAAAGGGGCAAAGTGTTGGCCCAAAAGAGTTGAGTCAAGAGCTGAGCCAAGTTTTTCCGCGGAGTTCATTGCTTTCGCCCACATGTTGTGTATACGCCACTTTAACTGACACATTTTCGCCTTGTTTTTCCCGGCCCGCCTTTTGGAGGTTTATTTTTCTTTGCCGCTCGCCCTGTTTGTTATTTTATTCATCGCTTCAGCTGGGAAGCCGTTGCCCGCCGTGAATGCTAATGAAAAGCCTGGAATTAAAGTTCGTTTCTCTTCGTAAGTTTATGGAACCAGAAGGGGTGGCAGGTGTAGTATTTTGATTAGGAACACACAGGCCTTTGAGCTGCCTCTTGAAATATGAAAAGTTATTCTTGAGTTTTGTTAATATCTTGCTAGTTTTAACTTGCCTTTCTGGAGTACAGAATAACATTAGTTTACGTGCCGAATTTAGCTAGACTCAACCTTGTTCCCAGCACGTTTTATACGTTGATTTTGGCCACCTAGTATCGGGTCCTTTTTAACCTATTTTCATATACTTCTGTTATTTTTAGGTAAGCAATACCGTGAGAGAAAACTGCCGGAAAACACACTTCGATGGCTTTCGATGGGCGCGTCCTTCGCTGACATGTCAAATGTGGGTAAATACATTTTTAATTTAAAATAAACAGTGTGTATTAAATTACGATGGCCCGAGCGGAAGGACGGCCTGATGAGCTCGACGGGCAATATCCGCTGCGAAGGACACACGCAAAATATGCAAACTGGCATCAAATCCAATTAGTTAATATGAATATTTGATGAAATCACTTCCGTTTCAAATGCTGCAAAAAAGGACCGACCACCCGCTGTCCCCCGATGTTTGTCATCATCATCATCGACGTGACGATAATGATGCGAAAGTTTTTCCGAACACTCGTGTTGGGTAACAACTTTTTTTTTCTGAATTTAAAACTTTAACGCATTCCCCAATGCAAGTCATCGAGTTGGGCGCTCGTTTCGCCTGAAATTATTCGTCTTTTTGGAGCTTTTGTGTTGTGCCCACAATAACCACAATTTGCAACTTTTTGCGGCACTTTGTCAGTGCGAAAAATGTCAAAATGTTTGCGGGTCTGAAATTTATTTAAATATTTCATTTGTCACACATTTAGTGCTGGCTGGTCGGTCGGCTTGGCGTATGTGGCCTTGATTAATATTCATATTCAAAGGTTATAATTAGCCGCGAGGTATATAATTCACATTTTTCCATGCCTCATGTGGCACCACATTCGGTTTTTCTCTTAATCAAATCTAAAACAAAGTCTATCCCAAGGCTTTGGCCGAATTGAATTTTTAATATTCTGTGGGGTTTTCTTTTTGTTTCGGTTTGTTGTGCTTCTTTTGCTGCATATATTTTTGTGGCATGTTTGCTTGTTTAACTTTTGCGAAACGGCTCCTTGTTGGCTGTTTGTTTTGGCCGCACACACACACACACACCGCAGCCATTTCGGCATACAAGTTTAACGAGGTGCGGTTGTTTGTTCCATATATCCTGCGAGGCTCCGCTTTGTTGCAAAAAATGTCACGCATTGTTTAATATTAATTTCATTTTCTGTTCGCTCCGACACCGCGCTGCCGAATATTCATTTTCAAGCTGTTGCCTTTGCTTTAATTGCGGCCCTGATCCCGCCCAGAATCCAAACAAATTTCAATCCAATCTGCCCGGCTTTCGGCGTAATTTATTTATTTGTTTTTCTTGATAACAAGTCAAGAGCCAAGCCAGCATTACGAATATGTACGAGGGTTGTAAATTCAATTTAAAACTCACTTTTAGTCCAAAGAATTATTTGAAAAATGTTTAGACTAGCCATAAATTCTATTCGCAACATTT